ACAAAACCTTAATTTCCAAATAATTTGATTGCGATGTATAAAAAATAAATAAATGAGTAAATAAAAAACAATAATTAGAAACATGATAAATAAATACACAAATAAGAAAACGCCTAATATGATGATGATGATTATTATTCTCTCTCTCTCTCTCTCTCTCTCTCTCTCTCTCTCTCTGTCTGTCTGTCAGGGTTGAGTTCATCCAGCAGTGTGCCCTCCCCCAGTGACCCACCCTCTCCCTCCCCAAGCTCCGCCTACTCCAGTGGTTCAGTCCCTGACCCGATGGACTCCGCCTCCTCGCCCTCCTCCCCATTCTCAGTCCCGCCTCCCGTCGGCTCCACAGACTCGCTCTTCCTGATGGACTGTGATGCTGCGAGTCCCACGGAACCGCATGTCCCGCATGCAGACGCTCTGTCCCTGCACTCGGAGCTCGCGGATCAACTGCTAAACTACAGCGAGAACGCAGAGAACGAGGATTACCTGTCTGATGAGGTCCTGCAGGTGAGCTGCTGTAATGTGATTGGCTGAAGGATTAACTATTAAGGGTGGGTTTAGTTTAGTTTATTTGTCTACAGGGGACAGTGCACATTTATAACGGTGTCCGGGGGGTCCTAAGAAGTATTAAAAGTTGATAAATCAATTATGAGAAAATGAAGGCCCTTAAAAGGTATTAAAAAGTCTTAATCGGATTTAACGAGGTCTTAAATTTTGGTCAAGCATTGTCCAAAGTGCATTCATATATTTATTTTATAAATCATATAAAATAATTAAAAAAAATTTAATATAAATTATATTTTTTCCACACCATGTCTATGGTTTTAATATGTAAAATGAATCAAACGAAATAAATCAAATGTAAAAATGAAAGTAAATGTAATGAAATGTAAATCCTCGTCCTAAAACAAAAAAGTCTGATGTTTGCGATGTTAAATAAATGATATTTATTTAGTGATGATTAGATTAGGACTTAATTGCAATACAGTGTTGTAAATTTACGTTATCTATCAAGACCCTGTCATCATAATGTCTGAATGTTAGGTTGACATGGCAACGCTCGCCGAGCAGATCATTGAGGCCACGCCTGAGCGAATCAAGCAGGAGGAGTTTAACCGGGAGGCGGAGTCACCACTGCGAGAGAGGCGGGACAATCCTGCTATTCACGACACCATGCCGTGGCTCGCGACCTACTTGGACACTGTAGACAGGTGAGAGAAAGAGGAGAAACATGACTTCTGCTCATCAAGAAAGCATTAGACTAGGGCTGGACAATGCTAAGAAAATATGCAATATGGAAAATATCAATATTTCATGCAATATTATATTTATCTTGAGAAAAGCTATTTTTATATCTCTTTTAAAAATATTAGTGCTGGCCTGAGCAAAGATTAATCGCATCCAAAAACAAAAGTTTGTTTTGGCATAATTATATATATTTATTATCTATGTCATACATAGGAACAAAACTATTTCATTACATAGTTTTAAATTTTTATATAATTTAATACATTTAAATAATAATAATAATATAAAATATAAATAATATTTCCCAGGGATGGGTTGGATCTGGGGCATCCGCTGCGTAAAACAAATGCTGGATAAGTTGGCGGTTCATTCCGCTGTGGCGACCCCTGATTAATAAAGGGACTAGGCCGAAAAGAAAATGAAAATAATAATAAAATTAAATAACAATATACATTTTTATAATTTAAATTTCTATATAGTTTTCATCCTATACGCATATATTTTGTATCTACATATAAATAAACATATTCTCAAAAATATGCATCTGTGTGTATTTATATACATGATAAATATGCACCGTACAGACACTTAAATTGTCAAAACAAATTTTTTATTTTGGATGCGATTAATCATGATTAATTGTTGTCCAGTACTTAAAAAAATGCATATTCATATAAGTACATAAATAAAACAACAAGTAATAATGAAATAAACTTATTAAAATAAACAAGTAATAATGAATATTTTTTGATCTAATGAACATTTCTGATCTAAACAAACCGTCAAGGTGCAAAAATTCAGACACAAGGAATGAATGCAATGGTTATTTTCGATTCTTGTCATTATCTCATATATATTTATTAAATCAGTCATTGTTTTGCTAGAGTTATTGGTTTTGGGCCAGAATTTTCCTATTGGTGCATCCCAAAAAAAAACTCTCAAATAATTATTGTATAATGTTAAACATTCACATTTACATTACAGCAATTAATTACACTTCACGGTAACGTCACATAGAAAACTGCTATTTTATAGATTGTTAATATATATTTCACCCTTTTACTGTACTATTGCCCAAATAAATGCAGCATTGGTGTGTAGGAGTATTTTAAATGCTTTAAAAGTTTACTGGAAGTAGGATTAAACATGATGGACATTGTTATATTAATAATGTAATCCTACTTTGCATGAGTAGCGCCTGTTGTGGATTGCACCTTCATGTATCTCTGAATGCCTCATTTGTATGACTTTGGACAAAAGTATCTGCTAACTGACTAAATGTCAAATGTTTATCAACACAATATTTAGAGTCTATGAAATAAACACTCTATGCTTAAAATAGGGATTCTTTAAGCGGATGACATGCTTGGGTTTTAAAAAATAAAATGTGGAAAAATTATCTATATTAATCGATTTATTTTAATATGAAATATTTGTACTATATGTGTGTATGTGTGTGTGTGTGTGTGTGATTACAGGAGCCTGTGTCCGACCCCGCCCTCCCTCCTCAGTGATTTGGCACTGCAGAGGCTCCGCCCCCCGAGCAGTGCAGCATGGGCGGAGTTTCTAAACGCCTCGGCCAATGGGAGGATGGAGAGAGACTTCGCCCTGCTGACGCTGACGGACTCCGAGCAGAGAGAGCTGTATGAGGCGGCGCGCGTCATCCAGAACGCCTTCCGCAGATATAAGGTGGAGATTAACATGCAATACACACATGTATATATCTCTTACATATATATATTCATATATACACATATGTATATATATATATATATATATATATATATATATATATATATATATACATACAGTTGAAGTCCGAATTATTAGCCCCCCTTTGATTTTTTTCTTTTTTAAATATTTCCCAATTAATCATGGCAAAGATAAAATAAATCAGTTATTAGAAATGAGTTATTAAAACTGTTATGCTTAGAAATGTTCTCTCTGTTAAACAGAAATTAGGGAAAAAAAATAAACAGGGGAGCTAATAATTCAGGGGGCTATTAGTTTGGACTTCAACTGTATATATGCACACACACACACACACACACACACACACACACACACACACACAAAACTCAGCCAATCACTTTCACACACAAACACAATGCAGATCGCCAGTTACTGACACACACATAAATACACACTGTGCACACACAAACAATGCATATGCAATAAACACACATAAACATACATGTCTACACACACAATACCCAGACATACACACACACACAATATACATTCACTCACACAGTACAAACTATCAATCACTAACACTCACACATTTATATATATATACACACAATAAATAGAATCCGACACATACTGTATGCATACAGTCACACAATACTCGCGCAAACACACACACACACACACACACACACACACACACACACACAAACTGTTTTGTTTTTTTGAAAAGTAGGGACATTACATAGGTCTCCATTCATTTTATACTGTCCAAACCGTATATTGTATTGCCCTCACCCCACCCCTAAACCCAACCATCACATGAGACTGTGTGCAGCTTTACTCTCTGATTGAACTCATCCTGTGGGATTTATAAGCATTTTGAGAAATGAGAATGTCACCAATGTCCTCATATTTCACCTGATTTTTGTAATACCTGTGAAATACCTACGTCATTATACATATTTGTGTCCTGATATGTCACAAAAACACGTACACACACACATATATAAAGTTGACTGTGTGTGTGTCTTTGACTTTGTTTTATTTCTTGTGTTCAGGGCCGGAGACTAAAGGAGCAGCAGGATATGGCTGCAGCCGTGATTCAGCGCTGTTACCGCAAGTACAAACAGGTACACACACACACACACACACACACACACACACACACACACACTATGGTGTCTGCGAGGTCATAAAAAGCCTTAAAATGTCCTAAATTTCAAAAACAAACTTTTAGGCTTTAAAAAGTCTTAAATGGACTGAAATATTGTGTTGTAGGTCTTAAATAATTTTAAACAGGTCTTGATTTTCCTCTGTCCCAGTAAAGCTACACAGTCAGGCCGACATCCATCCAATCCACAATACTCCATCTCAATAAAATCAGCAAAAGAAAACTACACACAGATTTCCTCATGATAATAACAGAGCAATATATCCCTTTATGTTATCTTCCAGTCATACAAAATTATTTACAGAAGTAAGGGGGAGTAAACATTATATTATAAATAGGCCAGAAACTTGAGGTTTATAATGGAAAAGCATTAGGTTGAATAGAAGTTATACTCAATCATTTTAGACCAAAAGCCAACCAATATATATTTTTGAATATTTATGTAATTGCCTCCACACTAAATATACTTTTAATAATGTCACACGTATCATTTAAAAAAGACAGTAATATTATGTTGAAAATAGTATAAACAGCTAGACTTTTGTTGTTTTGACACATTAAGGTATGTCGCTAAGAAATATTTACATTTGGGTTTTATTTTTGGCCCAATCGGGCTATTAGAAATAATCTTTAGTGTTTAGCCCTCTATAAGTCTAAAATTGCATTCATAATGGTCTTAAAGGGGTCTTAAAATGTATTAAATTTGACTTGATGAAACCTGCAGAAACCCTGACACACTTAGGCCCCGTTTACACGAGTGCGTTTTAGTTTTAAAACGGCGTTTTAGATCGAAAACGATCCGCGTCCACACTAGTGTTTCACCTAGCGTTTCTGAACATATCTCCGTCCACACTACGCCACCAAAAACGTATATCACGTGACCATTGGCGCACTCTGGGCATGTGCATTCTAGTATAAACAGGAAGCGTGTGTCTCGCTCTGCATTTGGTTATTGTTAGTCAACAAACGCCGGTTGAACATTAAACATGATGGCAAAGAAAGCAAGAGAGGTATTTTTGTGGACAGACGACGTGATCGAGTTACTAAACGCAACAAATGAATAACTGCACAATGGCGCCTAAAACAGACAATAGTGCAAACAACGCTCCCATTTCTGTGCACATGTTGTTTACAGTGAAGGCTGGTCTGCTGTCTTCTGGTAGCGTTAAAGCCATGTGTTATAGTCATGTGATAGGGGCTTGACGAATAAGGGAAGGATACGCAATGACACAAAAGCCCCAATCAAGTAGCGAATCTCAGCAGCCCCGCCTCCATTTTCAGATGTCTCCGTTTTCCCCCATCCACACTGAGACAGAGCAGCAGCGTTTCAGAATGAAAAAGGCCTCTCCAACGTTTCCAAAACGCTCCGTTTTCGGCACTCGAATACTCAAGCGTAGCGTGGACGGATGGCGTAACCGTAGCAAAACTTATGCGTTTTAAAACTAAAACGCACTAGTGTAAACGGGGCCATACATACACACACACACACAGACACACACACACACACACACACATTTACTTACTAATTCAGCATGTTGCCTAGATTTCGAATACTGTAACCCACATGCCAACTATAAGACTTTCTGCATTATTAAAGACACTAAAGGGGAAACAATGGTTAGTTTTGAGATTTTGCTGTTTCTTGTTTCTAAAGGGCAATGTGGTCCAATGGTTTAGGCAAGGCAAGGCATGTTGATTTATATAGCACATTTCATACACAGTGACAATTCAAACTGCTTTACATAAACAGGAATAAAACACACAAGTATAAATAAAATAAAAACAAATAATATAAAAACAGCTGAAAACAGCGTAAAGACAGTTTTTCCATATTCCCAAACACCGGTGTATCATATTTTCTCATTTTACTCTGGGACTTCACCATTCTGGTGATCACCCCCCTCTGTGAAATTTTCGGTACCTATTAATGTATTGGACGTCTCCAACAGATTAGATTTTTCACCTATAATCGGAAAGCTAAGCTTTACAGCTCCAATTACCTGCCCCCCAATTTCAACTTCCTTCTGGAAGTAAATCGCACAGCCCCTAATTTTAACCTCCTCCCGGGAGAAAATTGCTTTAGCTAGCCAAACGTAGTAAAAGGTCTTGATCTCAGCCAGAAGCCAGGGACTTTAACCCCCTGCAACAGATTACTGTGGCGAGTCATCGTCTCGGATCTCACTTATATTAATTACGCTGCCATCCAACAAAGACAGATCTACCAGTACGGTGATTTGGCCCCAGTAAAAAATTTTAACTGCCCAATCGGATACATAAACAAGAATATATACATATAATGTATGATTAAATGTTTGTAAACAGGTTATAAAAGGATGAAAAAGAAACCCTCTGGCTTTGCCAGATCACCATGGCGTGTTTAGTATCTTTTTTTTCTTATTGGTGCCAAAGACACTAAGAATACTCTGTTGATTTTGGTCACACAAATAAGTGTTATACACCATTCAAATCTGTTAGGTGTCTACTTTTTTTGTGTAAACACTCACAATAACAACAAAAGTGTGTGCTTTTGCCAAATAAGGAAAATATACAGTGTGTGCGTTCTTTATTTTCTCTCTCCACGTACTGTTTTTAGAAATGTGTCACTAAATTGCACTGAAATTCTGTGAAAACAAATATATATATATATATAGAAAGCTTAAGGTCTACTTTTAAATGCAGTAAATGCATGTTAAAAACAAATATAGCCTGACAAAGTAATCAGTATGAAACCAACACTATGTGTAGTTTCTCAGTCTGATCTCATCATTTTTAATGCGACCACGCCCACGAGGCTTTGTTATTACAATCAATCTTGTGAAATGCATGCGACATGTAAACTGTGCTCAGAAAAACTGTGGAATCTCCACGAATACATGAGAGATACACATGAGAGATATACCTGCTTAGTGAACTTTAAAACTCATTTTAAAAACAAATGTTGTCTCGCTAGGTAATCCATAGAATTCTCCCGGCAGAGCGCTCTTCATGCTGGCTATAGGATAATTGGATGAACTAAATTGGCTGTAGTGTATGAGTGTGTGTGTGAATGAGTGTGTATGGGTGTTTCCCAGTGCTGGGTTGCGGCTGGAAGGGCATCCACTGCGTAAAACGTGCTGGAATAGTTGGTTCATTCCACTGTGGCGATCCCAGATAAATAAAGGACTAAGCTGAAGGAAAATGAATGAATGTTCAGATGTGTTTTTGTGAGTAGTCGCTGTACTAATCAGTTGTTATCTGGGAATAACATACCTTGTAATATCATAGTCGACCAATCACAATCCAGTATTCCAGACAGCCAGATGATGAATGTTATTAAACAGTTACTCACACAAATACACAGAAACACTTGATGAAGTCGGTGCCAATAGCCTAGTGGTTAAGTGCACTGACATATAGCACCATGGTGCTCACAGCGACCTTAGTTTGATTCCTGGCTTAAGGTCCTTTGCCGACCCTTCCCCTCTCTCAACTCCCCATACTCTTCTGTCTGTAACCTCCACTGTCCTTTCCAATTAAAGGTGAAAAACCCCTAGAATATAATAATAAAAAAAGAAACACTTGATGAAAACCAAACTGTTACTGAGTGTTCTGCGTCTGTGTGTGTCTTTGCTAACACACTAACGTCGCTGCTGTGTCTCTGATCTCCTGTTTCTTCTTTAATTTCATGCTAGCTAACATGGATAGCACTGAAGGTAACAAACTAAACAAACCGTTGTATTTTCACACTGTTCTGCTGTACTGTGTTTGAGTGTGTGTGTGTGTGTGTGTGTGTGTTGTCCTGCTGCAGTGTTAATATGCATGTGTTTATAGTGTTAATAAATCCTTTTCTCAAGACTGTTATGACGCGTTTAACGCTGATCAGCGTCTTAAACCCAGAAAAGTGTTTAATATCTTATTTCTTTTTAAAGCGTATGAACATTTATATGTGTTTCTGTATGTGTTATATCATCTTTGCGTCAAATGACAGTAAACGGATGACCTCCTGGTTGAGGTGTGTAACGCAGTGTGTATGAGTGCAAGACCGTAAATCTGACATGATTCTCTCCTCTGGCTGCTGTTATCAGTCTCACACTATTGTTTTCCTCTTTCTGAAAGTCTTGATAACACCATCCTGGAGTTTTTCTCTCATTATTTCAGCTAATAGGATTGTAGAATAATGATGTGTTGTGCTCTACCATTCACTGCGCTCTGAGTTTACCAACTATGACCACTTCTGCTGCGGAGAAACACACGGATGTGAAAGAGTCCATATGTATGTGTGTAATGTGTGTGTTTGTGTGTGTTTTCCTCCAGTATGCCTTATATAAGAAGATGACGCAGGCGGCTATCCTGATCCAGAGTAAGTTTCGCAGTTATTACGAGCAGAAGAAGTTCCAGCAGTCCCGCCGCGCCGCCGTCCTCATCCAGCAGTACTACCGCAGCTATAAGGAGTACGAGCGCGTCAAGCAGGGGCCGCGGGGGCCCGGGGCCCTTAACACCAAGATCAAGTAAGAAACACACACTGCTAGTGCATAATGGTTCATAAATGACTGCAGGGTTTTGCATCAATCAAAACTAGTCCGATAAAACCAAAACTCAACATATGCCATTCACATATTTAAAATTATGGATGCATGGTATAACGGCAGCTTTATTGATATCGGCCGATAATTACTATTTTTAATCTTATAGTTATCAGTCTAATAACAAAACTAGGCCGATATCATTAATCCGATAAATTACATAAAACTTAGGGATGCACGATATAGCGGCGGCCGTATCGTTATCGGCCGATAAATGCTATTTTGAAGATTATCATTATCAATCAATCAATCAATCAAGCCTTTATTTGTCACTACACTTTCGTATAGCGAAATTGGACCCCCCAGACCATACACAAAACATCACAAACAACTTTTCAGGGGAGACAGATCTTAGGAGGTAGCATTTAGAAACGAAGAAAGATATATTTGGACAGTTAGGCTAAAAAACACCCCCTCAGCTTGCCCTTGATTAGGACAAAGTGAGAAAAGGGAGAAAAACAGCCCTATCTTAGCATAAGCACACCGGCAAGACACAACATAAGCCCCTTTCACACATACAGACCTTTCCGGAAAATTGCCGGCAATTTTCCGGAAAGGTTGTATGTGTGAACAGGTCCTTTTTGAAAATACCGGTAAATTCGTTCTGGCTATTTTCCGGAAAGAGAAGTTGTAACATTACCGGTTATTTGCCGGAATGCTGCGCTGTGTGAATGCAGAAGGAAGATTTCCGTAATAAGCGCGTGCACGTCTAGAACGTGCTGACGTGAGACGTCTGCTTTAGCCAATCACAACAGTCAGACGCATTCACGTCCGCGCGGTTTGTGAGGATAAAAGCCTTTGAATATTTTTCCAGACACATTTAGCTGCTAGATGTTAGTCAGATCACGTTTATATGTTCTTCTTAATGCCAACTGTGTAAATAATCATCGATGAGATGCTTATGATAAGCCGTTGTTTGTTTACCTTCAAGCTTTGCGTGCGCCTATGAGCGCCAGCATACGCACATATTATGAACATCTCGACATGCGAAAGTGATCCTGCGAAAGTTGTTCACAATATTGATCATCCACAGAGTTTGTAATTTAGTCAAATGTTTACAAATACAAGCGCAGCCGTTTAAAGCTCATTTGTGGTTAATGATGTCAGAATTTACCGGTATTTTGGAATGGATGTGTGAATGCTCTTTTCCGGAAAAATTCCGTAACGTCCTCGCCTGTGTGAACAGCGCTTTTTTGTATATACCGGTAAAGTCGTTCCGTAAATTTTCCGGATATTTACCGGTATCACTGTGTGAAAGGGGCTATAGACAGAGGGGATGGGAACAGGGGTAAACAGGGGCAGCCAACTGGTCCAGCAGCCATCCGGCGCAAGTCACAGCCCCGCCCACGCCCCACGTGGGTAAAAGCACACGAAGGCGTTTGGATGGGGATCGGTGGTGAATGTTTATCTGTAGATATGTTTGTGTGTGTGTGAGCCTGCATAGTCCAGAGTCCCGCAGGTGTCCTTGACAGGGGCAGGAATTTCAGAGCGTCCGCTTATCTTGCTTATCCCAGGGAGTTGTTTACTTCCAGCCGAGGCCGTCTGGCAGGAGTAAGAGGAGAGCCGAAAAAAAGACAGTAAGATACTTCAACTTTAGGTCAATATCTGCCAATTTCACAGATATTTAATGTCCATCACTCGTCTCCCGATCTGGCCAAAATTTGTTGCAGAGCCGCTAACTTCACCTCGATGGTTTCCAGTTTGCGGTCAAGGACCATAGTCTGATTCGCGACCCTACCTATCAGTGTTTCAATCAAGCCGGCCAGCCTAGTGGGGTTTTGAGCTGTGCTGACCGCTTTTATCAGTTTCCGATATCCCAGGGCCCTGCATAAGCCCATCAGCAGAAACCCTGTTATCAAAGTTCCGAATAGGTAGATATCTTCAATATCCGACCGAAGTTTAAATTAGTCCGATATCTTTAAGCCGATAAATTACGTAATTGTACAGAACTGAACTGGCTCTGAACTGTCAAAACACCTATAAAAATGCTTTTTCGGACATCACATATTTGTAAATGTGTACATCACTGTAACACGCTTTATTCAAGAACATTTGAGCTGGTTTCAGTCCTTAGCTCTTTCGTTTTCATTTTATTTAAAATATATTTAACTTGCTTGTTGATTTAATCCCATTTTGTTTTTTAACCTATTATTTTTATGCAACAGTCAAGTAGCAGGTTAATTTGCCACGAAGAGAAGGAAATTGTTTATTTTTTGCATGCTGGTTTATGTGAAATCGTGAATATAGGTCTATAATCACCTTGCAATTTTGAAATTATAGCTTTTTTGCTTTGAGTATAGGCTATTCAGTTCATCAGAGTAGTTCAATCTTTTATAAGGTTTTTTTTTTAATAAAATCAGTTTTTCACTGTATAAAAATATATCATTTTGAAATGTTTATAATTATCGGCATATATATATATATATATATATATATATATATATATATATATATATATATATATATATATATATAGGCTATTGGCTTCCAAATCTAAAGAGTTAGTGGTTATTGTGCCGGCAGCTAGCTCTCTGCAACTCTCACATGGTCGCTAAGCAGGGTCAGTACCTGGATGGGAGACCACATGGGAAAGCTGGGTTGCTCCCGGAAGTGGTGTTAGTGAGGCCAGCAGGGGGCGCCCAACCTGCGGTCTGTGTGGGTCCTAATGCCCCAGTATAGTGACGGGGACTCTATACTGCTCAGTGAGCGCCGTCTTTCGGATGAGACGTTATACCGAGGTCCCGACTCTCTGTGGTCGTTAAAAATCCCAGGATGTCCTTCGAAAAAGAGTAGGGGTTTAACCCTGGCCAAATCTGCTCTCTGGCCTCTGTCCATTATGGCCTCCTAATCATCCCCATTTCATAATTGGCTTCATCACTCTGTCTCCTCTCCACCAATCAGCTGGTGTGTGGTGTGCGGTCTGGCGCAAAATGGCCGCCGTTGCGTCATCCAGGTGGATGCTGCACACTGGTGGTGGATGAGGAGATTCTCCCCATTATGTAAAGCGCTATGAGTGCCCAGAAAAGTGCTATATAAATGTAAGGAATTATTATTATTATTATTATCGATATCGGCCAATTAAAATTAGGCATGCATGGTATATCAGCAGCCATATTGATATCGGGCTATAATTGCTATTTTTAATCTTATAGTTATCAGTGTAATAACAAAATTATGCCGATATCTTTAACCCAATAAATTACTCCCATAGGTAAAAATTAAGGATGCATAATATATTAGCAGCTATTTCACTATCGTCTGATAATTGCTATTTTTGCTATTTTTGTTATTAGTCTATTTAATAAAATTAGGCTGTTATCTTGGAGTCAATATATTACTTTCACATGTAAAATTAGTGATGCATGATATATCAGCAGACAAATACATATCAGCCGATAATTGCTATTTTTACTGTTTATGTTATCAATCCAATAACAAAATTAAGCCGAAATCTTTAAACTGATAAATTACTCCCATATGTAAAATTCGGGATGATTGATATATCGGTGGTCATTTCGATACAGGCCGATAATTGCTATTTTTGTGTTTTTTGTTATCTGTTCATTAACAAAATGAGGCCGATGTCGAAAATAAAAGTAAAAATGGCAATTATCAGCTAATACTATAATGGCAATTATCGGCTAATACTATAATGGCAATTATCGGCTAATACTATAATGGCAATTATCGGCTAATACTATAATGGCAATTATCGGCTAATACTATAATGGCAATTATCGGCTAATACTATAATGGCAATTATCGGCTAATACTATAATGGCAATTATCGGCTAATACTATAATGGCAATTATCGGCTAATAATATAATAGCAATTATCGGCTAATACTATAATGGCAATTATCGGCTAATAATATAATAGCAATTATCGGCTAATACTATAATGGCAATTATCGGCTAATACTATAATGGCAATTATCGGCTAATACTATAATGGCAATTATCGGCTAATACTATAATGGCAATTATCGGCTAATAATATAATAGCAATTATTGGCTAATACTATAATGGCAATTATCGGCTAATACTATAATGGCAATTATCGGCTAATAATATAATAGCAATTATTGGCTAATACTATAATGGCAATTATCGGCTAATACTATAATGGCAATTATCGGCTAATACTATAATGGCAATTATCGGCTAATACTATAATGGCAATTATCGGCTAATACTATAATGGCAATTATCGGCTAATAATATAATGGCAATTATCGGCTAATACTATAATGGCAATTATCGGCTAATACTATAATGGCAATTATCGGCTAATACTATAATGGCAATTATCGGCTAATACTATAATGGCAATTATCGGCTAATACTATAATGGCAATTATCGGCTAATACTATAATGGCAATTATCGGCTAATACTATAATGGCAATTATCGGCTAATTTATTAACATTTTGTTCAATAAAATGTCAATTTCACAAATATTTAAAAAACATAGACGAATTATCTTTGCTCCAACAGAGCCCTCTGCACCATTTCTATACAATATATGATGCACATCATGTCATGGTATATACATACAATATAAGTTGATTAAAGTTCCCTTATATGTTTACTCATCTATTGTACATATATACGCACGCAATGAGTCACAATAGGCTTAGCAAATGTAAAATAAAGAAATCAAATAATTTAGATAGAAATTAAAATAAAAGGGAGGGGAGGAAACAAATGTGAGAAACAAATAGACAACGGTCAAACTGCAAATATTAAATTTGGCAATCTTTTTATAAAATTTTTATGATTAAGATGATAAATATTTTGTGCATCTATATAATGATTCTACTTTTTGTTGTATAATTAAAAAAGCAATTTTGATCATTTAATGTAAACTGTGCCAGTTCTGTATAAAAACTACAGACCTGGCAACCCTGAGTGATGGATCTCAGTATTTGAAAAACATTTTATTTTTATCTGAAAATTCATGCATTGATCCATGAAATTGATACATTTATTATTATTATTTACATGATATGAATTTTACTAAACTTTCTTATTCTGTTTTTTTATGATAATAGATCAATCTTGTGCATCTATATAATGATAATTAACATCTGCCTTTCTTCTGTTCACCAGAGGATCTTTTCTGACCAAGAAGCAGGATCAGGCGGCACGAAAGATCATGCGCTTCCTGCGGCGCTGCAGACACAGGTACAGCACACACACACACACACACACACACACACACACACACACACACACACACACACACACACACACACACCACATTCACTGATTTAATTCACACCCTGGCTGTGTGTTGTTTTTGAGGGAGCAGGACTTGCAGAGATTTGGAAAATCAGGATATAAGATGAAACCTTTTCTTTAATCTGGAAAAGGAAAGAGAAGATTTATTCAGCACATTTCTAAACATAACAGCTTTAATAACTCTTTTCTAATAACTGATTTATTCTGTATTTTCAGTACATGATATTTGTCTTTATGTGATTGTACATTATAGTATTTTAAAGATCATTTATGTTCATTATTACTTCGTCTATTAAAAAGAAAACATCCAGTAAAACAGCAGAAGTGTCATGAAAATGAGGACAATCATGAAACACTACAGACAGCTGTTGATTGCTATAATATACATTTTGATTTATAAGTATAATATACTTATATTTAAGCATCATTTATTTAAAAACAAAATGCTTAAATATTTAGTCAGTTAGTTATGTCTGCAAAAGACATTAAAAAAACAAATACATTTTCCAAACATAATAATGGGCATTTTTGTAGAACAAACATACATTTTAATCTATATAATAGCAGGTGCACATAAAAATGTATTTAATTTAATTTCTAGCAAGTAAATTTTTTTTAATAGTTAAAATATGTGTTTGTTTTTTAACCCCTGAAGGGACGTGATGGTGGAGAAAAAAATAGGTGTAGGAAAAAAAAACAATTGGTGGAAGAAAAACAACCAGAGTGATGGGAAAACATATTTTTAAGTTTTTGTTTTGCGTTATCTCGCAAAGATGCTTTGCGTTATTTCGCAAAACTTTCTCCACAAACACTTCCTTTTCTCATTCATGTAAACCCTCCTGTTTTTGCAGAAATTCTCCCATATTAACCATTCTATCCCACTATCATCATATCATTAAAGGGTCACGAAACACCAGTACACATGTTTTGAGCTGTCGTATTTGTGTCCCACACTTCTAAAAACACTATTAGGATACATATATTACACTGAAAAAGGGAAAATTTGTTGTTTTTACCTTATTTTGAGCAAATTCATACTTCCGGTTTGAAACAAGTTTTTGAAGCTGCGTCATGGCCATGACATAATAGCGTGTATTCCAGCGTGTAGACTGGACGTCTGTGCCAGAGTGAGTCTTATTACGTCTCTGAGTGTGCTGCATTCATTCATGAGTAAGGCTTGGTTCAAACCAATCAGCGCGCTCCATTATGTATGCGCTGCAACTTCATTAATATGCATGCTAGCTTTCTTAGACTGTACCTGAAACAGTGTTCAGACAGCAGAGAGACGACACACGTCGCGTTGCCGAAAGTTGTGGGAAAAGAATAAGAATTGTTTGGAGATGCGGGTCGCCAGTGTTGCTTTGATAATGTGAAGGTTTTGTTTCATTTTCTCTTTATGCGAGCGCTGCTAGACTCACGTGTGGATCTGTAGACGCGATGCGCGGCAGAAATGCGTTTGTTTGGAACATTTTTTACTCAAGAGCATTTCTCATCAATGGTGAGATCCGGATTTGCTGCTCGTCTCCTTTAAATAAAGACGCAGCTCCAGTATATGCTGATTGTCCTGTCTACAGATTCGGTAAGTGTGTGTGATCAGCGCCCTTTCTTTGTTCGTTCAGATGGCTAAGTTATAGTTGGTATGGTCAGCTGTACTCTTTCAGTGTCTAAAGACAGACCTTAGTCAATATGATTTCTACGTTACTCAGTTTACAGTACGTTAATATCACTACAATATTGAAAGATCCGCTGTAAATGCTGCTCTCTGAGTGTAAACACGTGAACACTGTAAGCAAACTATTGCCGAATGTCGTGTTGAATTTTCGACGCATTTTGTGACAGGATAGTCTACACACATATGGCTTTCTGACCTACCGAGTTACAGAGAAATGCAGAGGCTTTTTTCTCTTATACGGCGTGCGGTATCTAACATTTCACCATCATTAAACACACTGTCTTTCTCCCCTGCGTGTGTGTTTGTTTTTCCTCTGTCCACAGCACGTGCCCAAATGGAAACTCCCATTTTTATTCACTCCCCCGACACTCCCACCCAAACAGAGCTGGACACACCCACTTTCCAGACTTTTTCCAAACTAGAGGTGTGAAAACATCCTGCTGAAACGGGGGCTTTCATGGCCCTTTAAGTATTTTCCCATATTTCTGATATATGTTTAATCTTGAAAGCACGCTGAAATTAATATTAAAATGTCTGCAGTCACTTTCTTTACATCAAAGCTGTGCGTCGACCGTCACCTTTCATATGCTACCTCTGAACCTGTGAATGCATGTAAGTGCTGACTGACAGACGCGCTCCGTACAATAAACTGATCCCAGATCAGCTTCTATACACACCATTTACAGAGGAGCGAAAGTGCAGGACACTTTTGGGTTCAGGTGTATGTTTAAACAGACAAATACACTGAATAACATATAAACACGTCCTGCATGTTTTATTTTAAACAGCTTATTTCCTCTTAAATGAGCTCACAGTAAGTAATGGACTGCTTTCATTATAGATCTGTGCATTCTTACAGAGACACCTCTGTTATCAAACTAAACATGAGATTCATTTGCTGATCACTTATTTGATAAAAACACAGGAAGTGTTTGTGGAGCCTCCACCGCTGAGACTGCAGCTCTGCACAAGACTTTTGGCCAGCGGAGAAATTAAAATGGTCGAACTGAGTCTGGTTCTCTCAAGGTTTTTTTTCTTCACTCTCCTATCGGTGAAGTTTTTTCCCCCTCCGCTGTCGCCCCTAGCTTGCATGTCTCAGGATCGGTAGAGCTACTCATCGATGAATTTGCTCTTCAGTGTTTGGACTCTCAGTAATGACTTTAAACCACACTGAACTGAGCTAAACTGAACTGAACTTAAACACTGAAAACTGAACTACCCTGATCCAGTTACTATGACCATTTATGTGAAGCTGCTTTGACACAATCGACATTGTAAAAGCGCTATACAAATAAAGCTGAACTAAATTGAATAACAGAGGTGTCACTTTAAATGGTGTGTACAGAAGCAGATCTGGGATCAGTTTATTGTATGGAGCGCGTCTGTCAGTCAGCGCACAGCTTTAATGTAAAGAAAGTGGGATAGGATGGTAAAATACGGGAGAAATTCGGCTAAAACGCGAGGGTTTACATGAGTGAAGTGAACAGAAGTGTTTGTGGAGAAAGTTTGGCGAGAGAACGCAAAACATCTTAGAAGATAACGCAAAACTTTGCGAGGGAACGCAAAACATTTAGAAATATATATTTTCCACCCATCCATTTTTTTTTTCTCCTACCCATTATTTTTTTTCACCCAGCCAATTTTTTCTCCTCCACTACGTCCCTTCCGGGTCTCCGTAGTTTTCTTCTGAAAACAGTTACTATATTTTGTTTTAACTGTGTGCAAATATATTACATATTTAAGAATTTAACACTGCAGGTAGAGCTGCACGATTCTGGCTAAAATGAGAATCACGATTTTTTTGCTTAAAATAAAGATCACGATTTTCTCACGATTCTGTAGATGTAAAATAAAGATATGGTAAAAACAAACAAATGGCACAACATCGATAATAATATATAATTTATATAAAAATATATAATAGGTCTACTGGTTTTTATAAATAATTCTACTTATAATAATTCTGATGTTGAATTATTATATTTGAGATTTATGCTTGCAGTCGGTCATATTAGACAATTTTATTCACTGGTAAAATCAGACATTTCCCATTATCAGATTATATTCAACAATATATAGGCTAGAGTAGTTATACTGACCAAACATTTATTTTCATGCACAACTGTGTGTTCGCTATGAAAGAAAAAATAAATGCTTGCCGTAATCGTAACTCTAAAATGTGATATGATCATTTAAATGAAGTGCACACTTTCGGTTTCATTCTGACTGCTAAGTGCTGTTCATACTTCACGCGCGGCTCCCAAACGATCACTCTGTGCCACAAACTGAATATTATTTACAGCTGTATTACCTGTTACTCGCAACATACGCAGGTTCTGTTCACTAAAGTAGACGCACTTGTGTCTATCATTAAGCGCGCGCGTGTCCTCTCTGTGATAACAGCTCACGGTCAGCAGCTCATGTTACGTGTGATTTCCCGATCGCGAAAACATCATTATATGAAGACAAAAATGACATTTTTAGATGAACTATACCTTATAAATACAGGATGTGGCTCTTCAACATCGTTTGGAGGTGTCAATGTCACTGAGCAACGTGTGTGAAACAATGAAAAGACTCGTGCAGCCGCCTTTTCTTCTCTCCTGAACTTGAAAATATGATTGGCAGAATCGTAGAAATGCTGGATTAAGATCGTCTAGGGGGTCGCCATCTTTTAACGATTAATTGTGCAGCTCTAACTGCATGTATAACAATATTATATAAATATACTATTCTTTTATTTTATTAGATCAGGGGTTCTCAACCTTTTTCACTCCAGGGCCCACTTCTTTCTCCGATCAATTTTTGCAGGCCCACCTGTCTGACATTCTCTCTCAAATGTTTATATAAAATGATGTGTGTGTGTGTGTGCGTGCGTGCGTGCGGCTCGCTCCCTGGTTCAATAAAGGATTGACTCTTTCACTGGTGTTTTCCCATGATTTATTTCAGTGCAGCATTCACTTCACTGACGCCGTCGTCAACATCAAACACCTTATACCATAGGCCAAACACCGTACACCTTGCACCGTACGGCAAACACCGTAAGAGCTTGTATACAAAGAGAAAATGAAACCAAATGTAAGCAAATATGAAACCATATACAAACAAACAGACATCACTTAAACTCAATATGCAAACTCAATACAAACAAACAAGCATATTAAACGAAGTGTCAGTACCTTGTTCTCCAATCAAACCAGAAGCTAAACCTTTAGTCCGTAGCAGACCGCACAGCTGAGACGCCGTGATCATGTGCGATCTTCTGTGTCTGTTTATATCCGTAATGGTAATTAATTCAAAATAAAAGACCTCTGGTTTTACACTGAACACTCCATAACATAAATACCAAAAATATCAAATATACATATAATAGAGAAGAGAGAGAGAAAGTATATACACACACACAATATAAACATATTGTAGAAAGATGCAATAACAAAGACACCATGTCAAAGTTATTAACTATATATATATATATATATATATGTATACATGCACAGTTGAAGTCAGAATTATTAGCCCCACCGAATTATTATATTTTTTACAATAACTGATTAAGTTGTGATGTGTGTTTGCAGGATTAAAGAGCTGAAGCAGAGTAAAGAGCTGGAGCACCGCGGACTGACCACCTGAACACACACACACACACATTACAGTTACGGTTGCTTGTTTTCCAGTGGTCGCTGCAACACTAAAGTTGACGTTCAGCTTTCCTGAATGTTTTTTCATGTATTAATGGATCTCTATAAATGTAAACAGAATATACTCTTATATATATATATATATATGATCATACACACAGTCTCGATTGTGTTGCATATGAATTTATTTATTGATCTCTCGGAGATGCTGTATATTTTATAAACACTCGATGTTCCACTGATCTGAAAACACTCTTTTTCAAAGTCTTAAGTTGCCATGGAAACGCAGGACTGAAATGTAACGGTGCCTAGTGACGAATGTGACCATGTTGGACACGAATCGCTGCAACAGAGTAAAAAACAAACGTGATTATTCTGACTTCACTGGAGTACAGAACTCTGGATCTGACTTGTGAACTCTCATGTAGATGTTAAAACTCAATCCAGGGGGAAAAGTTGGATGTAAACTCAGAATTACCCCCAGAAATGTTGAGTTTGCAAGATTTAAACTCTAGAATTGTGAGATGAAAACTCATTTTTCTGAGTTTAAGTCTTGCAATTTAAACCTTATTTACCTTCACTTTTTCCCTAAAATGTGGAGTTTGCATTTTTTTATCCCACTTTCCTCCTCCTTTTCCCCATTCAGAGTTTGGATCATGCAATTTTTACTGGGAAAGTTGGAGACGTCAGAATAATGGAATTCTGAGTTTGTGTCACTCAGAATTCCAGAAAAGTTGGAATCACAAGATGAACATTTTAAATTCCAATAAAGAAGCAATTGGGAGATAAAAAAAAATGAGAATAAAAAACAAGATGGACGTTTTACAGGAAAAGTTGGAAATGTGAGATGAAAAATTGGAAATCTGAGTTTTGGCTTGCAGTTTGAACCTTTTTTTCCTTCACAATTCTGACTTTTTCCCTGAAATCTGGAGTTTACATGCAATTCCCACTTTTACTCTTTGCAATTCTGAGTTTGCATCTTGCAGTTTTTATATGAATAATTGGGATTGTGAGCTGAAAATGTTTGCGTCTTAAAATTTCAACATTTTCCCAGAATTACAAACAGTTGGAATCACAGGATGAACATTTTTAATTCCAAAAAAGATGCAATTGTGAGATGCAAACTCAGAATAAAAAAGCAAGCTGGAATAATTGTGATTGTGAAATGGAAACTTGGGATTCTGAGTTTATGTCTTGCAATTTGAACCTTTTTTACCCTCACAATTCTGACTTTTCCCTGAAATTTTGAGTGTGCAATTCTCACTTTTCCCTCTTTGGGATTCTGAATTTAATGTCTTGCAATTCTGATTTTTTTTCCTGAAATTTGGACTTTACATCTTGCGATTCCCACTTTTTCACTATAGGAATCTGAGTTTGGATCTTGCAATTTTTACTGGGAAATTTGTAATTGTGAGATGAAAAAAATGAAATTCTTGGTTTGGGTCTCGCAATTTCAACATTTTTCCAGAATTACAAGCAGTTGGAATCACAGGATGAACATTTCTAAATCTAAAGTTGTGAGATGCAAACCCAGAATAAAAAAAGCAAGTTGGAATAATTTTTACAGGAAAAATTGTAATTGTGAGATGAAAACTCGGGATTCTGAATTTATGTCTTGCTATTTTTACTTTTTTTCCTTCACAATTCTGACTTTTTTCCCTAAAAATTGAAGTTTACATGCAATTCCCATTCTTTTCATTGCAATTCTGAGTTTACGTCTTGCAATTCAAACTTTATATTTTTAGGAATTTTGAATGAACATCTCACAATTCTGACTTATTCCCTGAGATTTTTTGAGTTTGCAATTTTCACTTTTCCGCCTTTGGGATTCTGAATTTTAGTTCTTGCAATTCCAACATTTCTTTTCTAAGTTATAATTTACAAGATGTACATTTACATTTTAAAAAATGTTGAATTTGCAAAACTTCAAACTCAAAAACACCCCCAAAAATGTTGGAATTGTGAGATAAAAACGTGGAATTCTGAGTTCAGGGCTTGCAATTTAAACCTTTCTCCCCCTCACAATTCAGACTTTTTCTCTGATATTTGGAGTTTACATGTAATTGGAATTCTGAGTTTGCATCTTGGATTTGCAAAATTTAGAGGACAATCTGTAATTGTGAGATGAAAACTCAGAATTCTGAGTTTACTTCTAAAAAAAAAAAAAAAAAAAGGTTGGAATCACAAGATGTACATTTAAAATTTACAAAATGTTGGATTTTGAACTGGAAAAATTGGAATTGTGAGATAAAAACTTGGAAATCTGAGTTTATGTCTTGCAATTAGATCACTTTTCCCCCTCACAATTCTGGCTTTTTCCCTTAAATTTGGAGTTTACATTTTGCAATTCCTACTTTTGTACATTGGAGTTTTGAGTTTGCAGTTTTTTTTCATAATTCCAAAAGGTTGGAATGGCAAAATGTAAATTCAGAATAAAAAATAAATAAAATTGTAATCACAAAATGTACATTTTGAATTCCAAAAAATAAAAGTTGTAATTGCAAGATGTAAATAAAAAACTCTGATAGGTATATATAAATAAATATTCTCTTTTTTTTTATTCTAAATTGACATCTTGCAATTCCCTCAGAGTTTGTGTCCTGAAATTCCAACTTTTTCTCCCATAATTGCAAAATGTAAATTAAAAAAATAATAATAACAACATTAATTCTGATAACTCGATTTACATCTTGCAATTATATTTCAAAAATTACAAATGCAAGATGTAAACTCTGAATTCAATCTTTAAAAAATTGCAATTGTAAGATGAAAATTTATAATTTAAAAAAGTGATTAATATATATTTTCTTTTTAATTCAGAGTTCACATCTTGTAATTCCCACATTTCATCTTTAGAATTCTGAGTTTGTGTCGTGAAATTTCATCCTTTTTTGGAACTTGAAATGTACGTCTCGTGATTCCAATTTATTTATCAATTAAATTCTGAGTTTTTATTTTGCAATTCAGTTTTTTTATGTTCAATAATTCTACAAAGTTGCAATTGCAAAATATAAACTCACAATATAAAATGTTATTTAAAAAGTATATTATAATATACTTATATAAAAGCTTATAAATGTAGATATAAATTAAAAGAATTTAATGTAAAAAAAAAATGTAATCACAAGATTTTCTAATTGAGTTTGAATCTTGAAATTACCCATAATTCCAAAATAATGATGTAAATTCTAAATATTTATAAGTACTATTTTTATTATGGGTTTACATCTTGCAATTCCAACTACAGTCATCAACATTTGAAGTCTATCAAAAGTTTAAAACCTAAATTGTCCTCAGACAAGGATGAATGTTTTTCCAATAGTTTAGGACAACTTTGATGAACAGTTTCGATCCACTTCAAATGTTGACTCCTGTCCTGATCATCTTGATTATTTATATTATTATTATTATTGATTATTGTCCATCATTTCAAAACATTGTAAAAGCAACATCTGAACTCACAAGTGAACAGAAGCTGTAAGTGCAAGGTGTAAAGTCGTGCATGTTTTACCTCCAGTCGTGAGTTTCTATATCCACCACAGTGATTTCTACATGTTCAGATGTAAACAAATCCAAGCAGAAGGACTGAATTTAATATAAGCTGGCAGCTGTGGCATGAGCTGCAGTTTTGTTTCGTTGTTGAATTCTGTGGCATAAAGCAATCTCGGGTGAATTGAGAAGCACTAGGCTGCTTTACAGAGGAATATTGGACACGTCTGTATTTTCTGGATCTTTCTGAATGTGCCTTGAGCTGTTTTTATTCTTCTGCAGTCCTGAAGAACGTCTTCATCAGACCTTTATGCATCATTCGCCTGTAAATACTGTAAAATAGAAAGAGCTGGTGAAAATATATTTAAGAATGAACACGTCTGCTTCTGCCTGATGATGACGACGACATGTTTGATCTATTCTCTGTACTGAATGCTGATTTCTGCACGGTTATTTCTCTCTCTCTCTCTCTCTCTCTCTCTCCATCTCTCTCTCCATCTCTCTCTCTCTCCATCTCTCTCTCTCTCCGCATGTTTTTGGTGTTTTGCATGGGTTTGCTTCTGTTGTTTCCACTCGCTGCTGATGCTGACGTGACTTTATTTATGACGATATTTAGATTATTCTTGGACTTGATTTCTACTGTAAATTCATTATGACGTTTTGCAGATATCTGTTCAGGCTGTTTTACTGTTTCAGAACATTTCATTAAAATTATATCAATTCAAGTGTGGTGGGGTTCTTGTGCTTATGCAGTGACTGATTACGGATGATCTTTATTTCATTAGTGATGTCTCTGTAGCATGCAAAAAAGAAGTGCATCCCCTGTGCATTACACTGAACAACAAATCTCTTATTTTTTAAGGATATAAATAGACAAAAGTGAAATATGAGGATTTGCAAGGAAAATGTAGAAATTACAAGACAAATTCCATCCAAAAAAAGTAAAAAATACGAGGTGAAAATGAGACAAATGGATTTAGTAAAAAGAAAAAAGAATTTGAAAATTGGAGATTGGAGATCATGACAGGGAAAAAAAGTTTGAAAATATATAAAAACCGTTTAAAAAGTTGTGAAAAATAAAAGTCAATTTTGTTGTAAACTCAAAATTCAGAGAAAAACAACTGAAAAATAAACTCAGAAATACCTGGAAAAACAACATGTAAACAAGCTCTGGGTGAAAGGTTAGAATCCATTCATTCATTTTCTTGTCGGCTTAGTCCCTTTATTAATCCGGGGTCGCCACAGCGGAATGAACCGCCAACTTATCCAGCAAGTTTTTTACGCAGCATATGCCCTTCCAGGGAAACATCCACACATACACACTCATACACTACGGACAATTTAGCCTACACAATTCACCTGTACCGCATGTGTTTGGACTGTGGGGGAAACCGGAGCAAACCCACGCGAACGCAGGGAGAACATGCAAACTCCACACAGAAACGCCAACTGAGCCGAGGCTCAATCCAGCGACCTTCTTGCTGCGAGGCGACAGCACTACCTACTGCGCCACTGTGTCGCCCAAAGTTAGAATCATGAGACGTAAATTCAGAATTCTGGTGAAAATAAAAGGGGAGAATTGCAAGATGGAGCCTTAAATTTCGAGGAATAAGTCAGAGTTTATAAAGGCAAAGTCAGAACTTTTGAGGAAACTATTCCAGAATCGCAAACTCCAAATTTCAGGAATAAAATCAGAATTGAGTGATGTAAACTCAGAACATCAGGGAAAACAGTCAGAACTGCAAGAATAAAAGTGGAATAAAAGATGTGAACTCTATATTTGAAGGGGGGAAAGTCTGAATTAAGAGATGCAAAACCAATTTTAGGTGAAAAAAATGGTTTTAGATGTAAATATAGTGAATATTGTGAGATGCAAAATCCAAGAGGGAAAAGTGAATAGCAGGATGCAAACTCTGAAATTCAGAGAAGCTTGAATTTTTAGACGTAAACTCCACAAAAATGTGAGAATTATAAAATATAAACTCTAAACTTCAGGAAAACAATTTAAGTCAGAATTGCAAGAATAAAAGTGTGAATTAAGAGTCTTAAATCTGAATTGAGATGCAAAACAAATTTCTGGAAAATTTCAATCACAAAAGAATTGCAAACTGTAAACTCAGAACTGTGGAGAAAACAGTCAGAAATGTGTAATGGGAACTCAGAGCGTCAGGAAAAGCAGAGCTGCAAGAATACTAGTGGATGTGTAAAAGTGGAATAAAAAGTGTGAAATTTGAGGGGGAAAGTCAGAATTGCGAGATGCAAAACTAATTATTAGGAAAAACATCAGAATTGCAGAAACGTAAACTCAAAATTTCGTGGACAAAAATGTCAGAACTGCGAGACGTAAACTCAGAACATCTGGAAAAAAGATTGAATTGCTTAACATAAACTGACTTTCAGGACATTTTTAATGGTCAGATGTTATGAAAGTCAGAATTATGAAACATAAACAGGAAATTTCAGGGAAAATACGTCAGAATGTTTTGATTTGAACATTGTGAGATGTAAATTCTTGGAGGAAAAGTGAGTGAATTTTAGATGTAAACTCTGATGTCACATATTGGAGTTGTGAGATGTTGTGAGATGTCATGTCAGAATTCAAAGAATAAAAGTCTGAATAACAAAGATCTGAACTCTTAATTACAGAGAAAATGTATTTTTAGATGTAAACTCAGAGAGAGATGTTTTCTCAGAGAGAAAAGGTCAGCATTTGGAGAAAAATAGGCAAGAGGTAAATTTGGAATACAATGAAAAGAAAAAGGCAGAATTTTACCATTTTTAGGGAAAAATCTAAATAGCAAAATGTAAATTCTAAGGGAAAATAGTCTGAATTGCACATTTTAAAAATCTAAATTTTACACAATGCGAGAGATCACAGGAAAAAAAGGTGGGATTACAAGTTGTACACTCCAAATTTCAGGGGGGGAAGGTCCAAATTACAACACATTTTGCAATTTGGGTGGAAAAAAAAAGATTGGCTTAATTGCATGTTTCCAAACTCCAAATTTTAAGAAGAAAAAGTCTGAATTTTTAATTCTGAATCCTGGATTAAAAATTGGAGCAAAATCAAAATTACAAGTGGGAATTAAAAGACGTAAACTCTGAATTTCAAGAGAAATGTCTGAATTACAAGACAAAGTAAAATGAAAAAAATAATGTCAGAATTGCAAAATATAAAACAGAATATTGAAGGAAAAAAATGTAATTTTGAGACAATTCCAGGGGGAAAACAGGCAGAATTGCAAGATGTAAACTGAAGAAAACAGAAGAAAAACAGGCAGAGCTGCACGACAAAAAGTGTGAATTACAAGATGTGCACTACAAATTTCAGGGGAAAGTCTCAATTGTGAGATTTAAAGTCTGAATTTTCCAGACAAAAAGTCAAAATTGCAAAAAAACTAAACAAACGGGAATACTGGGGGGAAATGGGATTGTGAGATTTAAACTTGAAAAAAGTCTGAATTTTAGATATAAACTCAGAATTTAAGCGGAAATTATTTTAGATGTTATCTCCAAATTCCAAAGGGAAAATGGAGAAAAGACAAAGTTTTGGAGAAAGAAAAATTTGTATTGTGAGACGTAAAGTCAGTTTCAAAAAGAAAAGTGGGAAATACAAAATGTAAAGACAATTTCAAGGGAATAAATGGAAAATACAAGAAACAAACTGAGAATATTGAGTCAAGACAGCAAATGTCAATTACAAAACAACAATATCAATTAAAAAAATCATGAATAATTACAGGAGATTCTTGAACATTACTCAGTGGACACACATTACCTGTAATAAATGCTGAACGCCTCCTGATAATTGACAAAAAGTGCTTGAACACTGAAGTAATATCAACTTTCAGTAAAGATTAAATTACACAGAACATTCACCATAAATGAGCTTCACATTAATGTCGCAGAACTTCCAAACCAATTCATAGAAAGT